TGAAAGAATAAGAAAGTACAAGAAATAACTTATTTTCTAAAAGAAAAAGCAATGTAACCAGGTGAGAAATTAACAATGCAAAGGATAAATTTATGACACAGTACAGACCTTTGGATTACAAGGTGTGTAGAAAAGGTGTGTGGCCCAAGGAAGTAAGAAATCTGCATTGTTAGAATCTGGTGAAATAAAAGCTGGTGACACTCAGCTTTGCTTAGTGTTTCCTCACTGGCTCAGTTCAAGTCCCAGCCCTGTCCTTTAATACCTGTGTGATCTTGGACACGTTTCTTAACCTCTCTGAGTCTTAATTGTCTTGTGTATAAAAAAGTGACAATACCTTGCACCTCAGTGGGTGACCATGAGAATCAAATAAGAGAACAGCTGTGTAAGCATGCTGTCTTCAAGGGAGCACCAAAACACACTTAAAGTATTATTAGTATCATTCTTATGAACACTTAGGAGGAAACCCCTTCACATGGTGAATGTACGGACAGCTCATAAGATGATCGGAGCATAGAGCAATTTGGATATTTGGGGTATCTTACTCAGGAATTCATTCTCTTCACATTGTTTATATAAATCAAAAAGCCCCTTAGAGTTCTGGGCTCCTGGCTTGCATACAGTGTCACTCACTTCTCATGGCTGGTTCATTTTGCTTAAAAAATATCAGTCAGACTCGAGGACTACCTTTCATTTCTGAATTCTCCAGTTGGATTGGTAGGGGGAAGGAGGACACACCCATACTCAGAAGGGAGTCTCCCGAATCCAAAATAAATACATCACCACACAAAAACGCCCTCTACAAGGCCTATATTTCTGTTGGGATCATGTACAGGGTGAGGTTCCTGGGTGGCACTGAGCCCCATTTCCTGGTAATCCATCTGCAAAAGGCATGTCTGAAGGCACATGAGGGGCTGCTTGGTACCGGGGACAGCGGCCCCAGTGTCCTTTCCGTCTGCGTGAATACAGGGCAACATCAGCTACCTTCACCACCCCTACCCGCTCACCTCAGCAGGCCCTTCTGTGGTGAATTCACAACACACACCGGGATGGTATTTACTCTGCAGAGGCAGAGAAATTACCCTTTGGAAGTGACTGTTGGCAAGAGTTATGGTCAGCTTTTATTTCAGGTGGCCTCCCCACGAGCCTCACTGCGGCCATGGCCCAGTAGATGGTGAGCCCTTGGAAAGCAGGTACCAGGCCAGGTCCATGCTTGTCACTCTACCCCTGGCCTACGACAGTCCTTCAAATGTTTACATCATTGAATTGAAATCTGCCTGCAACCTCTTTTGTATTTTCTAGGTGACACAAAAGGGACTTTGCCATCCGTGCATGCACCTGGTCTTACTAAGGCATTCATTCATTTACTCATTCACTCAACACTGAGTAACCTGCCGTGTGTCAGATATAATCAGCAGGAAGTAATTCACAGCGATAAATGCTCTCAGCACAAGTTTGTACAAAGGGCAACAGAACCATAGAGGCAGCTTAGTTCTTTGGGAGGTGACAGGGATGGGAAAGGCTTCCCAAAGGAAAATGGCGTTTCTGCTGGGCCTGGAAGGATGAGCAAGAAGTCCACGGGCAGAGAAAAGGAACAGCAGAGGCTTCCTGGATGGGAACAGCATGCACAGAGGAGGAGAGAGGCCAGAACATACGTCTGTCATCTTCTTGCCTGGGGCTAGACTTTTGGAGCGGGGAAAGGTGACTGAGATCAGGGTGAATGAGAATCAGGGCTAAGGCAGTACAAGAAGGGCCTGAATGTCATGCTGAGAATAGGTTCATTTATCCTACAAATGATAAGGATCCATCACAGATTTCTAGGCAACAGCATAGCATGATCTGTTTTACCGAGGCCGCTCAGCATACATTAATTTGCTCGTTCATCTGCTCTCTGCCACAAGGCAGGGAGCATGACATGACGTAAGCAGGGACAGAGCCTCCCCATCTCTAGCACAATGGTTGAACATAGGAGGAGTTTATCAAATAGTGGCCTGGGGGGAGAGCGTTCATATTCCAAATGCGGACCAGAGCTGACCCTCCTCCCTCGCCTGCTCTCTCAGGCTGGCAGGTGAGCAAGGAGAACAGGTCGTGGGTAGGGGCTCAGAGACAACGTGGTGGCGGTGTTCACAGGGAAGCAAGGCCAGCCTGACTCACTTGGGGAGAAGTAATAGAATTTATAAGAGATGAGGAAAGCAGAGGCCTCTATAGAATGAAAATCAGGGGGAAAAATCATATAAAATGAATTTTATGGGGTGGGAAACACCACGGAACCAAGAAGGGTCCCCTAAGCTACCAGTTGGGCTTTCTGGGTGATCCCTCCAGTCGGTGAAAAGGTCCAGCCAGCGGGCCCGCATACTCGCGTTCTGGCTCCAGGAAGCGTCTCCCCAGCCATGAGGTAATTCCGCAAAGTTCCAGCTACTCACTGCTGCCTGAAGCTCCCCAGCCGGGCCCAGGCCCAGGAACCCGTGGGTGTGGGAGTCAGAGGCTCAGAATCCACACAGCTCCAAGCATATGAGGCCGGGGGAGGGGTTAGCAGCATCCTCACCCTACGCGTATGCATAGGAAACTCAGACTATCTCTGGGTCAGGGAAACGTCCTGACTGAACCCAGGAGCCAGACATGCCCCAGCAGCAGCCCCACCTAGCAACCCATCTCAGCTCTCTGCTGGGCAGTTTAGAATCGCATTAGCCAGATTTGTTTTCCTAAGTCTATTGGGGCCAAAACACTGTAAGAAGAGTTGTATTTTCTTTCCCTCTGTTCTGGGAAGGAAAATAACAATACCAGTTGCTATTACAGAGCATCGATTGGATATTCAGCACTTAATGCTGCTTCCCTCTAACCCTTACAGCTCTGCCAGGCATGTATCTTTATTTGCATTGAAGCTGAAAAATAGAGGTTCGGTGGTATCCAGGTACATGGTACAATGAGAATCAAACCCCGACTTAGCTAACTCCAAGCAGCACTCCCGACCACAGTGAGACGCCAGAGACGCAAACGGGACAGCATGAATCCGCTGCAGGCGTCAGGCCTGCCGGACTCCCCGACTCCTACCTCTACCAGACCCATGGGCGAAAAACCAAAGGAGCCTGTTTTGAGGCTGTTCTCCCAGAGCCAGCAAAGACACATAAAACATCAAGTTAATTGTCTGCAGCACTGCCGGGAAGGAGACACATCGCAATCCAGGTACGCTGTTTCCTTCTGGGTGTATCACCGCTCTGAGGTCCAAAGGCCTGCCCAGGCCACACCCCCTTGGTGCCCTCGACTTTTACCCCGTGACACCTGAGTGAAACTCGGCAAGACAGCCTCTGTTGGAGGAATTCAAAATACGGCAACAATTGGCGTGAGGAGGGGCGGCCGTGCTGAGGGGATTCACAACAGGCCACCCCACTGAGCAGGGTAGGAGCTGGGGTGGGATCCACGGCAGGAACTGAGCCCACGCCCTGGTGCTGCGGCTCTGAGGCTGTGGGCATGCCGTCCGCTCCCTGGGCCCATCCGCCAAGCCACCACGTGAGCGTCAGCCTGGACTCGGCCCTCTTCCTCACCTCCTCCATCTAACTGGGCATTTCATCAATCCTCAGCTCAACCTCTGTAATCTGTCCCCTACACAAACTAGTTTGACACTTGCCACATCTCACCTGAATTACTGCACTAGCTTCCCAGTTGGGCCCCCAGCCTCCAGGCTGTCCTCCTTCTACCCGCCCTCCCAGCTAGAGGGAACCTTCTGAAGCACACATCTGGCCATCTCACCTCCCTGATCATCTGGTCCCCCATATCCTTCAAGGTAAAGTTCAACTCCTTGGCTTAGCCCCCACATCCAGTGTCTGCCTTCCACTCTCCTCCTGGCTTCTCCACCCATTCAGCACATTTACACTCTTCCTGAACTTCCCTGAATGTATTGTGCTTTGTTAGGACCATGTACACTGTTGGCCTCTCTTCCTTAGGAGGCCCTTTCTCTCTGTTAACCCCACCAGTCCTTCAAAACTCAATTCAAATACCACCTCTTCTGGGAAGGCCTTTTGGATACCCCAGCCTAACTTAGATGTCCTCTCCCAGCCCCCTGAAATTCCTTCTATCTCAGCACTTAGAGTTGGTTTTTTCTTTTCTATCCCCTGAACTAAGTTTCCTGGAAAAGAGGAACTAAGCCATACAGGGTCATAGTTGATTCTGTATCTGTGGCAATAGCCAGGTACCCAGCACAGTGCTTGAAAACACAATTTCTTGATAGAATAGTGGGTGGGTTGTCTTCCCGGTAACCAAGCCCTTCTGATCACGGGTCGGAGGATTATTGTGCTTTGGGTGTCTGTACAAGCTCATCAGTCTATGCAGCTGAGTTCAGTTACTGTGGGAACTGACCCTTCTACTTTGACCACATTCCTGCTTTATGAGGTCCTATGTGGTCACACTGAACTTTCTCGACCCTGAATACCAGTTACCATAAGATGAGTGGCCCCTGGAAGCAGATTTATGGCCACAGTATGGAGCAGGACTGTGGAAGGCACTAGTCAGAGGTCCCCTGGCTCCAAGAATCTACAACCTCCGGCCAAGGGATGCTGGGGGCTGTGCATTCTGCATCCACAGAGCCAGTCAAACTCAGCAGACCTCATCTGACTGCTTCTGGTCCTGCCTACTCGGGAGTTAGCTCTTGGCCACTGAAAACTTCAGCCTTGTAAAATCTGTTTAGTTTCAAGTCTCCTGTCATTGGTCTGTTCATTTAAAAATTATACCCCACTTGTTCCCTAAAAGAGATAAGATACCTGTGGTCTGATTAAGAAGTTTCTTGCAGTCAGCCTATGTGAAGTAACCCTGACATGTGGGATGAAACTGAGGAGGTAGATACTTTCCGTGGCACCATTTCTTTCTCAGGAGCTCAGTGTTTTCAACTGTGAGACAAGGGGGGAGGGCCAAGCGGGTGCTGAGCCCCTCCCGTCAATGACAGCGGGAGAAACTGGGCCCATCCTTGCTGAACGGATTCTTTTCCCTCCCCCTCGCTCCCCACCACTGACCTTGAGATCGAAGTGAGCAATTTTCTTGGCATGAAGGTAGTTCACCCCATCCAGGATCTGTTTTATGAAACTGGTGGCTTCCTCCTCACTCAGAGATTCCTTCTGGGCCAGGAAGTCGAAGAGCTCTCCTCCAGGCACTCTGCAAGATACGATGGGGAGGGCCCAGGTCCAGGCAGTCCCGTGTGTCATGGGCACAGGCCGACGGGTGCAGCTCCTGAACCTGACCCCCAGGCACCCTGTCTGGCAGTCTCCCCACTGCTGTCTCTGGGGCTTTGTCCAGCCAGCCCCAGGGCCTGACTCTGTTTATTTGCTGTGTTCTTCCCTTTGGGTCAGCAGGGCAGGAGCCACCCTTAGGGTGTCACCATATGGGCCTCTGCTCACATTCCAGATCCCTGGTTACTGTGGATGTTACCCACCCCACACATGACTGAGGGGCAGAGGACAGAAACAAGCACTGTGGGATGACAAAGAAGAACATATTCTGGGACAGAAACTGGAGACGGGGGTTCCAGGTCAGCCCTGCCACCGAACTGGGATAACTCACTTCCCCACTCTGGGCAGGCCTTCATTTCCTCACCGGCAAAATGAGCAAATTAAGCAAGATGGCTCCTAACGCCCCTTTCTTTGATTCTATAAAAGATGGCCTTTTCAAAGGCCCAAGAGAGTCTAGATGCAGTCCCGAATAACGACCCATTAATTATATTCCTCTCTAAAAATTCTAAAATACTACTTTGCCCTTACACTCCACATTCTTACACACTATAGTTGATGTGACAGGAATGGAGGATCCACAGAGCAAAAGAAATCTCCCCTGTAAATACTAGTTTACAGTTTAATCTGAATTAGGGATTTAGGGATGCCAGATAAAATAGGAGATTTTTATTTGTAAATCTGGCAACCCTATTGGACTTCTTTAGCCTCTAACAAATGCTGGGTTATCTAGCCAGTAGGTGCTCCTCTGGGGCTGGGACAGAGCCATGGGTCACTGCAGGAAAGGTCTCAGGAAGGGATCTGGGGCAGGGGTCCAGGAATTTAGGATTACCTGGAGAATTTACCCAAATTGCAGATTGCCAGATCCTACCAAATTAGATTATCCAGCGGCAAAGCCTATATTTTTACAATAAACAATATCATAATAGTAATTAATATTCATTAAATACTTATTCTGTGCAAAATGTTTACTTTATGCACATTATCTTATTCCATTATCATAATACCTGATGAGCTATGTACTATTATTTTCCTATTTTGCAAGTGAAGAAACAGAGGCTCAGTGAGATTAAGTGGCTCACCCAAGGCCTCCCAGCCAGTAAGCAGTAGAGGCAGGCTTCAAACACATGCAGAACGACTTTCAGTCACAATATCATACCGGGTGTGCTCAGATGATTCTTAAATGGCCAGAATGGCTTCAGTCCCAGTTTTGGGGACAGAGTCACTCTTTTCCACCTAGTCCATCCTAAACAGAGTATCAAAATCTTCTTTTCTCCTTTCTTTGAAAATGTACAAATGGACCCGCTAAGCAATCTTAGCATCAAGAAAAGTAGAACAACTGGACATGATGTGGCACAATATGAAGTACACAACAATACCTATGAAGTATTACAACTTTAAAATATTGAATCTAAATATGCTTAAGCCTCTTGTTCAGTGCAGCTTAACAGAACTTTCTGTAGAGATGGAAATGTTCTTTATACATGCTGTTGAAGCTACTGAGCATTTGAAATACGGCTAGTGCAATTGAGGAGCTGAATTTTAAATTTTATTTCATTTTAAGCCATTTTAATTCAAAAACCGCATGTTGTAATATGGTCCTATAAATACAACTCTGTTGTTTTGATAGGATTGCATTTCACTCTAACCATTGCATTGCAAATGGACTGAGACATGCTCTAAGTGTAAAATACACACTGCATTTTGAGGACGTAGCATGAAAAAAAGAATGTAAAATAGTTCATTAATGATTTTAATATTGACTACATGTTAAAATATTATTTTGTATATATTGGGTTAAATTAAAAATATTACTGAAATTAATCCACCTACTCCTTTTTACTTTGTACTCAATGAGTCTACTAGAAAATGTAAAATTGCATATGTGATTTGTATTATACTACTACTGAACAGTGCCAATAGAAAGAGTATCTCATTTAGCTTACAGGAAATACAGGAGATAGAGAGACAAGTTAAATAACACCATGAGGAAGAAATAAACCAAACCCAGCCTGTAAGACAATCAAAGGGACAAATGACCTAGTTTTTCCAACAAATCAAAGGCATAAAAAAGAGGGGCAAGGAGACCTGCTGTAGAAGAAACAAGACATTAAGAGACAAAAGAACCAAATGCGGATCCCATTTGGATGCTTATGCAAATAAAATACCTATGAAAAGGTATCTTTGGGTCCATTAGGGAATATCACTAAGACTGGAGCACAGGCAGCCTTAATGGTCCCGAGGGCTGGCCGGATAATTCTGTCAGTGCAATAAATATATGACAGCCACAATTTTAAAAACCATTGTCAGTTAGAAGGCACACTGAAGTACTTATATGTAAAGTGATATGATGTCTGAGCTCTGCTTTAAAATATTCCAGTTGGAGTTGGGGGGAGTAGAAATTTTATAGAAAACAATATTGGCAAAATGTTGATAACCTGAAGCATGGTGATGGGCACCTTACATTATTCTCCCTACCTTCATATTTTTTAAATCTTCCATAATAAGAATAGTAAACTTTTAGAGGAGGAGGCTCCACATTCTCCTTCAGCTGCCTCCCCAGAACGACCATCGTCACATGGAAGTTCTTCCAAAGCAGATGAGGAAACTGAGGCCTGTAGGAGGGGAAGTGGCCATATAAGGTCTCCCAGCAGGTAGTGCACAGTCAAGACCATGTCCAAGCCCCAGCCACGGTCTAACACTGTCTCCATACACTAGCATGTGATTGGGGCGAGTTGCCCTAAGCCTCCTAGCGACATCTTCCCGACTGGGGTAATGAGAATGTCTACACGCGAGTCTTGTTTGGAGAAGCAAACAAGCCAGAGCACCAAGCCAGGCACTCCGCACCGTGACTGGCCCATGACAGCACTCCACAGTGAGGGCTTCTGCCATCACGTGATTGTTTGTTGCACATGGTTAGCGTGGACTTACGGGGTGGGAGACGTGCTGAGAATGCAGTGGGACTTGGGCAGGCCCTGGACGGAGGAAGCGAGGGAATGAAGACAAGCATTGGCACAGAGATGGGGACAATTGTGGGGCACGTATGTGGCATTAGGTTGGTCCCGGAGAAGGTGAAGCCCTGCTGGGATGCTGGTTCTGGCACTTAATAGCAAGTCTCTTCACCTTTGTCTCTTCTCATGATCAAATGGGGTTACAAATATCTCCCTTAAGGTCAGAATTATATATTCCTGCTGGGATATGAGTTTCTCAGGGGAAGGAGCCACAAACTATGTGCTCGTGTTTGTGTCTAGAACCTTCCACAGAATAGATGCTTACTAAATATTTAGAGGAAGAGAGAGGGGCCAGAGAAGGGAGAAGGAGGAAGAGTGAGATAAGACGACGAGCAGATCATGGGCACAGCTGCCCCTCTACTCAGGGGAGCCGGGTGGGGCCCCAGGTGGCTGCCCTGATGTTGGGCATGAAGCCGGTGCACCGTTTCCCATGTGGCTCGGGGAGGAGGTCGTCCTCAGCCCCGCCCGCACCTGGGGCAGATGCTGGAATCTGGAGACCCTTGAAGCTGGTGAAGGAGTAACCCTGAGTCTGCTCTGCAGGCCCAGGTCAAAGGGCCAGAACTGTGGCCCCAGTCCTTCCCAACATAGACCGACCTGCACTTTGGGGTGGGGCATATGAGTCTCCCGAGCCCAGCTCATCTTATAAAACAGGAATGAGATTGCCCCCTTTGTGGATGAGGGAGGATGGGAGGAATCTTGGTGTCAAGTTGGACAAGTGCTATGAGACCCTCAGTAAAGTCCTGGAAGTAAATACCACGCACCACATCCTTGTCAGGGGTGACACTGGTGGAAGAGGGCTTGATTTAGAGTATTTTTTAGAGCTTGCCATCTATGCAATATGTTTCCCTAAGCATGCTCTCACTTGACACTCATCTCCGCCCTGAGGGGCAAATGGAACTTCTATCCTGAGTTTTCAGATGAGGAAAGTGAGGCCTCAAGGCCTCTCTCCACCACGTGTTCCTCTCTCCACATTATAAAGCTGGAGGTGCTGATGCCGAAAGGAAAGCTTGAAGCTGCCCCGAGGCCTGGGCAGCCCTCGACATCCTCGTTTGGCTGCTTCATGCCCTTCTCCCACTGAGCTGTTGTCATCTGTCTGTCTCTCCCTCCCCAGATAGATGATCGCTGCTTCCATTGCATGTTGTGGAAGAAGACATTCAGTAGAAGTCAGTGAACAAAAGAACAAAGGAAAGAAAAACACCACTACAGATATCAACATGACCTAGAATATTCTATATCACATGGAAGCAAAGCCTTGGTATTTGCAAGAGACCTGTCCAGAGCTCTTTTCAAATTTTCCAATCCACAGTGTCCCCTCTGAAACACACAGGACCCAGCCTGGCCCTAGTTTATTATATTCCAGCCACTGCTGGATCCTGTGAGACTATGATCTTGGGCACATCTTATCCTACCATACCTAACTTACACAGAGTGCTGCATAAATGTAAAAGAATATCATAATAAAGCCACTAACGTGAAGGCCCAGGCTGGGTGACAACTTGGGGGACAGTAATCGGCTGTTCCACTTGAAAGAGTCATCTGGGCAGAAGACCAAGTTAGCCTGGTCTCCTTTGGATGACGAAGAGAACAGCCATAGTGGCCCCTAGAGTCTCCCCTTGGTTTCCAAAAGGTGGGATGCTGATGAGCCTGCTGGGGTGACTGTCCAAGCCCTGGACACTCACACCAATGCTCATGCAGTTTGCTCAAGGTTTTGTTCATTCTCCCCTAATGCTGTTTCTCCCAAGGGCTTCTCAGCCCTAAGACCTCTTCCCTGGAGCCATTCTCCATCTCCTCCCAAGCCTCTCTCCTCTCACATCCCAAACCTCTTTAGCTCAAAGATACAAAGCAGAACCTAATAGTCTTGAGCCTCCTCTGCTCCTCCCCCCACTCACCCAGATCAGTCTCCTTCTGGCGAATCTGACCTCCCTGCAGGTGGGTCAGCCTGCTAGAAACACCTCTCAGAGCTCTGGGGAATGTGTGTGCAAATGACCTGCGTGGGCAGTGATCTGGGAAGGATGCTGTTGGAGCTGCTGGGGCCCAGGAACCTGGACTCACTTCAGGGCACTGGGAAGCCCTGCCCCACCCTGGAGCGCTCTGCCAGGCCACTCTCTGGTATGCAACCACCAGCATGTCCCCTTCCACCAGCTCAGAGTCGAGGAGGCCCCAGAGTGGTCTAGGACTGGAGGCCTGCCCGACCTTCCCAGGCCAGGCCTGCATATTTCAGATGACACTCTACATGTGACCGGAGTTAATCTACTGAGATTTGAAAATATTCTGTAAGGTACACAGAAGTCAGCTTATATGGAAAAACTAAATCCTTCCCAACCCTGCTTCAACAGCCCTGGCTAAGGCAGCTGCTGCTAAGGAGGTCAAGGATGGAGTAATAACAGCTGAAGGGACTTCAGTCAGGGTTGAGCATGTCCTCCAAGTAGTGTTCAGTTTAGCAAAAATGGGAGGAAGACCTGCATCAGACAAGAGTGGCTGAAAGGGGCGGTGGGATTGGGAAAGACCCTTCCACAAACCCTGCCATTTCAGCTGAACAGGTGGGCACTACCACCCATGTTCAAGTACTGGGAAAACCTACTAACCTGTTAGGGCACCATGGGAACCAGGAGACCAAAGGCTCCCGATCAGCCCAACAGGGGTCACCAAGTCCAAAGCCTAAAACCCATGAAAAGCCTTTCTCTCCTGGGAGGCCCTCTCTCTCTCTCTCTCTCTCAGACCCTGGTCCCACGTGGCTTAGGCAGTCATAGCCATCCCTAGCTCTCCACAGACAGGCACCCCGAGAGAACTGAGACAGCTTGAAAATGAAGGAGGAGACAGAGAAAGTATGTCCAGACAGAACCCAACAAGCGCAGCAGCTCAAGCAAGTCATGGGAGCATCAGTGCGACAACTGATGTTATGGGTGGTGACAGCTCACAAGAGGGGACGTAACTGTTGGTTGACCATGAGCCCTGCTGGCAAAAACAGGGACATCATCTCAGGAGCATCCCAGATCCCAACTCTTATGGCTCTACTGACAGGGAGAAGTGGCCAATTTCCCTGGTAATTAAATAATTAAATGCTTCAATTTTATAAAAATAAAAAGGACAACATAGTATCATTTTATAGCTATAAAGGTCAATGAATAATGAACCTTATTTTTAAAACAAATGACCCAGAGCTAGCAAGCAAATAGGAATACTCCTATGTTGCTGAAGGTTCTGGTTAACCAACACTGTCCTATGACAGTCAGGATCTCAAGGGCCCTACAAATGTTAGCCTAGTCATCCCATTCCTGGGGACTGATCTGAAAAAATTAATTCAAAAGAAAAGTAGAAAATTATGGGAAGAAAGTTGTTTCATGGCAGTAACAATTGTCATGGTTAAAAACTGGAAAATAAGAACCAAATGTCCAACAACAGAAAGATACAGGTATGTAACTCAATGAAACATGATATAGTCAGTTAAAAGAAAAAAGCTATTTATGGAATTATTAACTGAGGGGCAAAGTAGAGCAGGAAATTGTGTAAGCACAAGGATTGTACACAAATAGATAAAGACTGAGAGGAACCACAGAAAAACAAATAGCTGTGCTTTGGCGGTAGGATTATGAATGCGATTTCTTTTCAGTTACTGTAACGTTTTTTAAAGAGGCAGTCTGGCCTTCCCAGTGAAGGTGGGCCTGTCACTCTCCGCTGGGAACCAAAGTGCCAACTTCTTCTGACCCTTAGCCTTGGGGCATGCCACATCTTGGCTGTCCTCACGGCTGCCCATGCCCACAGGAACCCACCAGGCCTGTCTGAGTTGGGCAGGTGCATACACCAACTGGTCCAACCAGCTGAGAGGTCCGTGGGAGAAACACAGAGGACATGGGGAGTGAGAGAAGGGAAGAGCCTGGGCGATTCTATGCCTTTAAACACTGAGATAGACAATTTAAGAATCAAGTGAAAGATGGTGCAAATACCCATCTGCTATGTTAAGTCTATATCCTGGTAACCCCAGAGCATAGTTCTCAAATCAGAATGATCTCAAATGTCATGTGTTCACCCACCTGTAGGCAGGTGAAGGGAGACTGTGATTTACAGATGAGATCTGAAGATCAGAAGGGTGAGGTGACCACCCTAGGTCACAGAGTCAGGGATTGCTGTGGCAAACGCCACCACTCCTCTGCGAACCGGTAGATGCATACACGCCTCTGAGGCTCAGAACATTACTAACATTGCATCTTGCTGCTTGACTGGACACAGCCACTGCGACCTGTGCCACAGTCTGACTCAAACTCTGTTGTCTTCCAGAGCCCCATCTCCCCATTCCATGGAGACACCTCCAGGAGGGACACCAGGTGGCCAGGCAACCCCTGGAGTCTTCAAGTCACAAACGCAAATTCCACCAGACTGTGGAATCTTCCCAGGCTAGGCTAGCACGAGGCCATCCTGCCTCAGGCTCACAGCACTTGCTAGGTGCTTCGAGTCTTGCCCTCGCTGCTTCCTGGCTATAGTGTCTTGCCAATGGCCTGGCTCTCAGTGTTCCTGTCTGCAAAATGGGAATAACAAGTGTCTTTGTGACAGGACTGCTATGAAGATTAAATCAGGCAATAGGAATGCTCAGTATGGAGAGTACAAAATAACCTTTCCATGTTAGTAGCACAGGTTGCTCGACACCATCTCTGTGAGGACTGAACAAGATGACGGACAGGAAGCACCCAGCGAACACTTGGCTTAGGGGAGGGCTCTCTAAATAACAGCTATTATTATAATAACAAAGGCATCAAACACAGCACAATGCAGTGGATTCTCCCAGGAGAAGGGCTTCTGAGAGCCGGGAGATGTCTGTTCCTCGCCTCCTCCTAGAATAGGACCCTCGATGACCCCCTCCCCTTCTCCCCATGGCACCTTCTGCCCTCTCTCATCCTCCCACATGCTCTCCATTTCTTCCCTTTGATCCCCAGCATCCAGTGAAGGCCAAAGCTAACCTTCTGTCCCTACTGCTCCACAAGTCCACCCAAGACTTGGCCCGGGTTCAGAAGGAGGGTCTGATAACAGGGAAACCGCCCGCCACTGATTTCATCTCCTCTGGGCAGCTGAGCTCTGGGCCTGTGGCTGGCCCTTCCATCGCCCTGCACGCCCCTGCTGTACTGATGGGTCCCGGGCACCCCACTCACAGCTCAAGGATGAGCACCACGTCGGTGCGGTTCTCGAAGACGTCGTGCAGCGTGATGACGTTGGGGTGCAGCACCTGCCTCAGGATGCTCACCTCCCGCTCGATCTCCTCCCGGCTCACTCCCCGCCGGCTGGCTGGGCTCTGCCGCTTCTTGATGAACTTGGCTGCGTACTCCGTCCCCGTGCTCTTCTCTTGGCACTTCTTCACAATGGCAAACTGGCCGCTGTGGGAACAGACTCAAGGAATTAGGGTGTCGCTCTGGCCAGAGGGGAAGTGACCCAGCTGTCAGCCCCCAGGCCACACTAATTCAGAGTCATTCTGCCGGGGCAAAGGACAAAACAGCCTGGCAGCCATGACCAGGGACGGAGGTGGGCAGGCAGTGGCTTCCCTTCTGCTCATACGAGCCCTTTGCCGTTGACTAGGAATGAGTGTTAGCATTGTCATTCCCAACACACAGATATGAACACGGAGGCCTGAAAGGTTATTGATTTGATCAAATGACACCAATTCGTCATTCCAAACCCTCAGCCAGCACCTGAGTCCAGTATCCACCAGATGAAATGACAGTGTCCAGAGGCTCAGACTATGTAATGGAAAGAATAAAAAGGAAAACCAAAAAAGAGCAGCATGGTCAAAACATGAATGGTAGCAGTCATCATCTGGGTCTCCCTCAGCTGGATGCAAGTGCAAATTCACCCATTCGGGATTGTGAGGAGACAAAGCACCTGTCTCCTCATATTCACACCTTTGCTTCCAACCCACTCCCGACAGATAGAATCTCAGTGACCTGACCTGAGCCACGCAGGTCCTCGATACGGGGACAGAGCAAATATGACAGTGATGTACTTAATACAAAGACAAGGTTGGAAGACATGCTGGTTGGGTTGATGGGGTCCTAGTGGAGGTGGCAGTGGGGTGGAGGCATCCTGACACTGTTAATAACCATAGCGGGAACCTGTCACAGTGAGAGCTGTAAAATGTCAGGCACCCGAGGCACAGGGCAGGTCAAGTGACAAGCCTGAGGTCATCACAGAGTTGATGGTAAAGCCGGGTCCCAGAGTCCGGTGCCCAGCCCACTGTTCACAGAGCTAAGGAGTCACAGGAGTCAAGACCTTGCCTACTGCCCATGAAGGCTCATGCTGGAAGTCCTCCTCACTAGGGGCTGAGAGGGCAACCATGCCATGGCTTCTATGCCGGAGCAGCAGGCAGCCCTGAGCCAGCTGCCCGGGGGGAAGGGGGAAGAGAAGGGCAGTTGCACCATTCACCCTGCTTCACCATCTCAGGCCAGGCCACCACGGGAGAGTGGGCAGCTCTAAGTCCCTGGAGAGGACCTAGTGGCCACCCTTCCCGGGGTTCTCCCAGTCCCCTTCCACCATTGCCCCATGTTTTCTTGCCACCCACAATACCCACCATTTGAGACAGAATACAAAAAGTTTTAAGGTTCATCTTAGAGGTTTAATAAGGGGAGACCAGACTCCACACTTGGGATGTCCTGTCTTAGTGGCTCTGGGCAAAGTTATGCACAATGAAATACTCCAGATATTTGCCTCAACTTTGGAAAATAGCAACACATCTAAACCACTGGAATAATTCCTTGAGTTACTAGAATAATCCCCGGTGTGGCCTTCAAAATAAACCTAAATGCCAAAAAAAAAAGTCAAGTAGAGCAGGCAAGGAATAGATGTGCCACCACTTGAATAGCATTCTATGGCAACCACCTTAGAGGTGTCACCAGACACACATCCATGCACCTCTCCATCCTCTCGTCCCCATTCACTCAACACTGCCTGAGCGCCTGCTCTGTGCCAGGCTCTGTGCTGGGCAGGGGCCCAAGGCACAGACAATAGGTGCAGAGGGAGCTCTGCAGAGGGAGAGGGCCCCGAGGGACTGGGCTGGGCTGGGCGAGAAAGGCTTTGTGGAGCCGAATTTGTATTACATTGTCCACTAGCTCTAAAGTTTCAGCTATTTATGCCCCCAATATTGGCTCCATACAAGGGCTGTCCATACAGTAGGGGCTGATACAGGTGGACTAAAGCCAGGCCTCCCAAAGCCAGAGTGAACACACTCAGCAAGATCTCTAACACAGCTGGTCCCCTGGACGTACTTTGGGCCTCGGGGACATTGGGTCCCTTAGTGGGTGCCAGCAAACACTTGACAAAGCTTCAGTCCCAGGCAGCTGCACATCTCAGCACCAGAATAGCCATGCGCTGACACCTCAAAGGGCCTGGCATCCACACCCAGAGGGCAGAGAGGGCTTGCTCTTTCTAGCTGAATGCTGGGGAAACCAAAGCTTAAGGATTTTAAGCAACTTGTTTAAGCTTACAGCACAAAGAGGTGGAGGTGCTGGGCTTTTATAAAGCAGAGCTAAACATTTCTGATCACCCTGACCTAGCTTCCTATCTGTCTCATGAGGGAACAGAGGCATTTTTCTATATTGCATACCTGAAAAATTCCTCAAACTCTTAAAAAGCAAATGAGTGTTTGCTTTTCTTGATTGAGTTTTTTCTTTGTGAGAGCAGCTGTGGCAACGAGAGTGACTGGGGTCTGTCCCAGGGTGCAGGTGACTTCCTCCTGCCAAAAGGGAGGTTTTTGAGAGCAGGTGACTAACATGGAACCAGAAACCAAGCAGTGCCACTCCCCTCCCCTCTCTTCATAGGGAGGGCCCTTCCTTCAGCCTGCCCTGGAAGCCTCAAGGAGGGCCAAGGCCACTTGCCAGCTTTCCCTTCTCCTTGAGCCCTTACTGTGCTCCTCTCGAGCCAGCCCCCAGGTCCTGAGGCTTCGGGAGGCAAGAGCAGCTTTCAAGGTCAGATAGGCCGGCCTCAGGAGACTTAAGCTATCACCTGGGGCAAGTGGCTCTGAGCACCAGTTTCCTTGACCATAAAATGGGAATCATGCATCCCATACAACCCCTACTTAGGGAATTGTGAAGACTACATATCTGTAATGTTGGCCCACAGTCAGCACTAATAAATGGTAGCTATTATGACTATTATTAGTCTGTTGTTCAGAGGAAGGTGAGCCAGAGACACCAGACACAGAGATCACTGGTTGAAATGGTCTGCAATATATGGCCAGGGAGTCAGTAATTTTCAAAGTCCCCTGATGACTCCAGATACGGTAATATCTTTTTTCTAAGCAAGTAACCAACTCTTGCAACCCTTAGAGCAGGGGTTCTCAACTCTGGCTGCACAATAGAAACACCCGGGAAATTTTAAAACTACTGGTGCCTGGGTTCCATCCCCAGAGATTATGATATCCTGGGTCTGGGATGTAGCCTGGAATCAAGATATTTAAAGGCTTGCTGGGTGACGGATGTGCAGCCAGGACTGAGAAATACAGACTTCCAACAGTACTCTGATTATCTCCATTTCACAGAGGAAGAAACAATACCCTGTTACTCAAATTATTCCTTATCTTTTTCAGTACTAATATATCACCCTCTCCTTCAGTTCTTTGGGGAATGCCCAGCTAGATTACAGCTAGGCTACGGAGACAAGAGATGGACAGTGAGGGCCCTTCTAGGGTAGGAGCAGAGCGACCCCAGGCATCATCCAGGGAGGGAGCAGAGGGACCCATCCAATCTCTAATGGAAATCATCACCAACACTACATCAAAAATCACGGGAATTCTGAAACACTGATATGCATACGCAAAGTACACATATTCTACCCACCTCCCCGCCTTTGCAACAGCAGCAGTTAATGCCCACCCCATGGTCTAGTGCAGCAAAGGGCTGATAGTTTGGAGGCCAAAATCCTGGTTCTGACCTGCCATCAAAGCTGCACGGGTTTGGGCAAGGAACTGCCTCCTTGGGTCCTGTTTCGTCACCTGCCACCTCAGGTCTAACCCCAGAAAGCTTCCTGTCAGAACTCCAACCAGCCTGTGACAGCTCCGAACGGAAATGCAGGGTTCCCCTCACTCTGCAAATTCCCATCTCTGGGCTGGTGTCGGGAGACTTGGGTTCTAGTCAGAGCCCTACCACTGACTGGCCAGGACCCTGGTCAGCCTACTCAACAACCTGTGCCTCAAATTTCCCCCTTGTCAAGTGCAGATGAGGAAACCTGGCCTGCCCACCTCATAGGGCGGTTAGGGAAATCAGGAGATAGTGCCTGAGAAAGGACTTTCCTGCCAGCGCTGCAGAAATATGGGAGACATGGGCGTGGGCGGATGGAACCCTGTGCCTGAGGCCTACTTGCAAAGTCACATAGAGGGTTTTAGCCAGCAACAGTAAATCTGCAAGACAGAAACTACCTTCCCCACTTCTGCCAACCACACTCTCCTACAGTTAAGTCAGGAACACACCTCCCTTCCCAGGCTCAGCTCCTTACTCACTCAGCACCCCAGGAGGATGGAGCAGGCTGCAAAGCGATTGGGACAGATGAGCCTCATTTCAGAGCTCAGCAGGGCCCAGGGGTCACCCCACAGGCTCTCCTGCGGACTGCCCAGGAATCAGATGGAAACCACTGACCCAGAAGAGTTTCTCAGTGCCGAAAATGGTGTTGGTGCCTTCAAGAGCCACTCCTAAGCTTCATCAACGGGCTGGCTCCATCACCCCAAATCCCTCACTGCCAAAGAATAACCTGGCCATGACCCAAATCTTGCACCACATAGATTTTGTCCCGCAATGTGCACATTATCACATTTATGTCCACTTGGTGTCTTTATAAGCTGATTGTTATTTATGCTCTCCTTTAAAGTGCAGGTGTCATTCTTAGTTCCATCTTACAGATGTGAAAACTGAGGTTTAGGGAGATTAAGTGACTTGGTAGTTGGGCCTGGTAGCAGGCCTCGACAGCAGGGCTAGGACATAAAGCCATGTCTACTGGTTGCAGCGCCCAGTGGGACTCAAGGTGATGAGGTAGCAGGGGTATGTCAAGCAGTCAGGAGAGGCGCCCACCCCAGAAGCAGGAGCATTTTCTCACTGGTATCATTCGTAACTGCCAGCGCAATAGAAAAGCAGACTGATTTTTATTCAATTTTGTCATTGGTTTTAATTCTCAAAAGACACTGCACCCCTCATGGCCTGCACCAAGGCAGACTACTCCCACAGCACACCCACCCCTGCCTTCCACGGTACGCCACAGCCAGCCAGACTTGCTCTGGCGGCCACCAGGGACTGGCTGCTAATGGTGTCTGGTAAGGTCTATGCATACAGTGGGCCCAACTCATTCCCTTTCCCAGTCACCATTAAAGTGCCCATGAATTTAGCAACTTGCTTCCAAA